ACCCACTACCAAAGCTTTCCTTCCTCTGAATGGAGCTCCATCCTTGTATGCACTGGTGTGAAGTAATGTTCCCCTAAACTCTGATACTCCAGGAATTCGTGGCATCACAGGCTCTGCATTTTCTCCAGTTGCTACAATGAGCCACCGGCACCTGTACTCGTGCTCGTTAGTCTTCACCCGCCAGCACTCCTTGCTTTCTTCGTACTTAGCCCACTGAACCTCCTGTCCCAACATGGGATTGATCGAGAAGTGACTAGCGTAATCCTCCAAGTAACTTATGAACTGCTGTTTTGTTGGGTATGTTGGGTATTCACTAGGAAATTTCACATAAGGAAGTTGGCAAAATTTCTTAGGGAGGTGAAGCTGCAGAGCGTCATATGTTTTTAGTTTCCATAGAGACCCTATGCAGCTCTCTTTTTCGAGAATCAAAGAGGGTATTCCTCTTTGTTTAAGGCATGCTGAAACAGCTAGCCCCGAGGGTCCAGCACCAATAATAACTGGTCCTCGGGTCCAAAAAATTTTGGATTTGGAGTTCATTGTTTCATCATCCATTGAGTTTAACTTTGTGAAAAGTTGTTAGGTTCAGTTTTAATTTAACTCGTGAGATGGATTTACCTCCGTTACTTTGTTGCTACAAACTCAATTCAGGAAATCGTAATCAGAGTGGAAATAAACACAGTATAGAACCAAGAAATTTGATCTTTTTAGGACATTTAATAATGAAAATAAAAGATGTTCGAAGATAAAGACGAAAATTTTGCTAGACTCTTATTATAACTACAATCAGGAAAGGACATCCATGATAGATAATATAGACAATAGACAATTAGAAATAGTTGACAATAAATTTAAATGAATCCTTTACAGTACTCGTGCATGTGAGGAAAGAAAATCTTTTTATGAAGAATTTTGTTGAAGCTATTGGAGATTTGTGTAGAGAACGAGATTAGTTTCCAATGCATTAGGTGAAAAGGTATATATCCAAGTAGTTAGATAAGCATAAGAAGAAAAAAATGAAAGACATAAGAAACATGCTGGCAAAAACTGGGATTACCACTTGCCTACTTCTTACCAGTTTCTAAAAAGATAATAAAGTCATTCTTTTTTTTATATTTTTCCTTTAAATAGTTCTAACTTTTATAGTCAATTCTTTCATTTTGATAGTTTCTTTGATTACATGGATGGGATTATACCTATTTGCACAAATATCGATGATTCCCGTTTGTTAATACAAAGAGTCTAGTAAGCATATCTTGAATCGGTACCGAAATGGGATCTCTAATAGCAGGAGACAAGAGATTCATATGAGAAAACATAAGTAAATGGGCCTCTGCTTGAGCCTCTAAAGATAAAGGTACATGAACAGCCTTTTGATCCCCCATCAATGTCTGCATTGGATCCCTTACAAATTAATGGATGTAAACAAATAGCACGTCCTTCTAATCTCTTGCACATGGATATCGAAGTTGAAAGAAACTTATATTTGTTTGCTATATTGAGTGCAAGAAAGAAGACGGTTTGACAGAGAACATGACGAAAGCATATGAATCTTTTAAGGAAAGAAATGAAGATAAGAGGCAACAAAAAGTGAGAAAAAAAATTAGTTGGATTCACGAAACCCATGTTCTCAGTCAAATTATAGATATCATGTGTCCTTACAGTTCTTTTTTTTTTGGTGACCGGGTATCCGGACCAGTTTGTGCGTACTTCAACTAATCTCCGAGATCCTGAAGTTAATAGCTAGATAAACCTCCATTGGTCATCCTTATTAGCAATTGAGATGAATCGAATTCAAAATCTCTTGAGTAATACCCTAAGAATCTCTATTCAACCACTCAATCATCCAAAGGTGGTTATAGTTCTTCAATTTATTATTGATTCAATAGTGCTTGAGTTGCTATCTAGGCTCGAATGAATCTGATACAAGTTATGAGTTTATGATTATTGCTGCAAATGACTAATATCTTCAGTTTGATTCTGCTCATTTTGTGGACGTACTGCTTTCAAATGCCCTAAATTTCATACCGTATTCGTTACAAATTTTTTTCTATCACACAAAATTCACATTTTTCTCCTATTCTATGAACCAAGACAAATTAGAGGAATCTTTAGTTGCCATCTTCTCACCATCCTCTCCTGGGCGCCTCTGAATTCTGATATCTTTGTCATATGCAATACATAAAAATACATTATTAATGTTAATGATACATTATACATACAGATATCTGAGCACACAAATGTCGACACGTGTGTAAGTATATCATTTTGGATTCTTGTGATTAGTGGCGGGGATGAAAACAAAAAGTATGAAAGGGGATTTGCATTCATTACCTTTTTGTTTATAACTTGAAGAAATGTGAGAAGGAAGACAATCAGACATAGCCTAATAAGCAGGGAGGGACCTATGTGGGTTGAGTACAAGGCTCCAAAACTATATGCTGCCATTTTTTATATTTAAAATGTAACCACCAAATATTGTTTAATTAAGCGCCTAATCTCCAAGAGATGTGTACTGAACGTAAATCTAACAAATACTGAACAAAATGTTGTCAAGTATCTTACTAAGCTGAATGTGAAACCTAAAGATTGTGGATAGGATTGCGAAGTTTATCAGTCATTATCATATAAAGGTTAAACGATAAATCTCTGAGGGTGATTAGTTACTCTCCTTCTGTTCCCAACTTCTTGCCCCTCTTGTTTTAAGCCGCTCTTTGATCTCTACAATTAAATGCAATCCTACCTCTTTTGTTCTAAGCCTCTCCTTTATCCCCGGCAATAATTGTGATGTGATGGAATCTCTACTTCCTTGATATATATTGACATGTGGATTAAGCTTAGTTGGCCTGCTCAAGTTGATGCATGCTATTAATTTAATGTGATTCTGGATCATCTTAATCTTAATATCATCTCTTTTTCTAACTGGGTTTGTTTTCACCTCCGAAAATAAGGATTTATTAAAGGATAATGCTAGTTTTTTATCATGAGAGCAGATGATGGGTGCTAAATTTTGTTCATGGATTTGATACACTAATGCTATCAGACAAATCTTAATGAAGTAGGATAAAGTCGTAGCTATGAAGTTTCTGTGAAAGAAGACTCGGCCAAACATACCCGACGTTAGAACTATATAAAACCTAAAACTAAACTTACTCCACAAGGCAATATCTTTTTGGTGGGTGAGGGTGGTAATACAACGTGGTGACAACCCAATTGAGTATGCATGAAAGCGACGAAGATTCAGTTTTAGCTTAAACACCAAACAAATTAAGTACAGGATAAGAGAAGAAAAGCATGCCATATGGTATGGCCTTACTACAAAGGCTCCCCCCATTATTGATCAATCATTTGATCCTAAATCACTGCAAAAGTACAAAAGAGAAGAAAATAGTCTAATCTGATTAACTGATTATCCACATCGATCTACATTCCTCGCTCTAAGTCGATCAAATTACTACAGATCAAGTGGAACCATCCAGGACCTTTGAGATAAAGTTACCGAACTTTCTTTCAATAGCACATGATTGGACCTATGGTAGTTATTCCTATAGAATTCACATGACGAAATTCCGAGAAATACGAGGTAAAAATTGGAGCCCAAACGTATTATATTTGAGTGAAGAATGTTGATGCCTGAAAACCGCACGCCGAATTTTTAAGGAAATATTAATTCAGAGTGCTACAGGATATAAGTAAACTCTTTTAAAAGAATTGCATTAAGCATATATATATATATTCTCATTTTGAAATATATTATGTAAAAGTATTTTGATAAATATTTCTACAAACTATGAATTAATCTGTTTTTTTAAGTAAGAAAATATAATTTGATCAATCAATATGACTGGGTATGAAGGTTTCTGTAATTCTCAAAGTCTCATTGATTGTTGAAGGTTTCCAAGATTCCCAAATTGACTAGGATAATTTATTATTCAAGTTTAAGTTTAATAATTTCCTTTTAATAATAATTTCTAATATTTATCTAAAGTGTAATAAATGGATATTTAATCAGGATTTTATATCAATGTCATTTATGATTTATGTGTGTGCAGTTTAATCTTCTTGAAATTTGGGATGTGAGAACTCAAACAATGCCCACAAGATTTTTGGACCAAAATTTGAGCCATGCATTCATGAAAGACCTCACTCAATTGTAGAAACTCGGATCTGTGTTTAGCTCATCCAACAAAAGTTTAACTTATCTGCTGCCAAAATCATGAACATGTGAGCAAACAAAACATCACTTCAAAGTTGGACTGTGACGAGGATATAAGAAATAGTTCTTCTTCCTAGTAATGGCTCTGTGCCTTGTTAAGTCAGGAAGGGGAAGAGGACTAACAGATTCTGTGACTAGGGCTTCCTTTGGTTGAAAAAAAAAACCACACCCCATTTTATCATTTCTTTTGAGTAATGTTACAACCACCGAAGGTTGTGCACCGAATGACGTGACAAAATTCTGACCGTTTATTTATTATCAGTTAATATTATCAACGGTCAGGATTTTGCCACATCATTCGGTGCACAGATTCGGTGCGCGACCTTCGATGGCTCAATCATTTTCGTTTCTCTTTATAGTTTTACTATATTATAGCAAATCCACCTTCAACATTCGGAACATGCATCCATTTAGACCAAACAAAACTGCCTAAATAACTAGCAACCTATTCTCCAGATCATAAAACTATGTTCTTTTCACTTATATTATATCAGATAATAACACTAAACTGGGGTTATCAGATTAAACACATAATCGGGATTTATTTCGTCTGGAACTGCTTTAGATACCAAATCCTAAACACATAGGCTTGCCAATGTCTTGCAAATTGCGGATTAACACTATTGCCACAGACATAACCAAAATGAGGAATGAATGAATTAAAAAAAGGCAGGTAAAGAAAACTAACATAAACACCGATGACCAAACCTTACTACCAAGGCAAATGTACAAGAGCCAAAGTGATAACTTGGATAATTTAGTAAAAAAATGATAAATACGTCTTTTATACAATCAGCTAGAGAAGGATGAGAGAATCACAATGAAAAATATAGGGGCAAAGAAAGTGTCGATGGCATTTCTCTTTTAGAATTATAACTGCATAATCAATAACAAATTCAATGGCAGATAGGCAATAAAAGTTACATTTAACACTTTCAAAATTACCTTAACTTCTCAAACCAGATGCTTAGATGTGTTGGGCTAATGAAGCTCAAATAGCTTCAATCAAGCCCCTATGTTAGCTTCCACAGCTGATCTACAAATTTAACTAGTATGCTTAATTAAAACTCACCATTCAATTAAATTGAATTTACCCAACTCAAATCTCTCTATAACAACAATCCAATGGATCGTTATTCAGTAGCCTCTTGATCCTCAGGGACAGTAACAGCAGAAACCAACCCAAGCTCCTCTTCGAACTTCTGCCACTCTCTCAATACATTGGGAGGGAACTTCTTCTTGACCGTTCGACTAATACCTTTGGCCTCCTTCATCTTCTTTTTCTTCACCAACCCTTCCACTAAAAGCCTCGTTGTATTGAAATCTGGAATCTTGTGCATTCTCACACTCTCCTTAAACACCTTATACCCCTTCTCATAATCCTCACTTTTACACAAGTAATATATCAAAGTCCTAAAAGTTGAAGCATTTGGTTTACATCCATTTCCCTCTAGTCCCTTATAAACCTTCTTAGCTTCCTCCATCATCCCATTTTTACAATAACAAGTCATCAAATAATTATAACAAATTGTGTCCGGTTTCAATCCTACATTACTCATCTCAGCATCGATCAACTCCTTCAATTTCTCTGGATCACCACCATGTACATTCATAATTCTCACGTTATAAGCTGCCACATCCAATTCACAGCCCTTGGTCAACATCTCGCTCCACAATCTTTCGGCTTCTTCACTTTTGCCTTGCTTATACAAGGAACTCAATACCGTTGTATAAGTAACACCAGTAACTTCTATATCTTTATTTTCCAATTCTTGCAATAATTCTAACGCTTTATCAGGAAAACCAGCTTGACAATAAGATTTTACCAAAATCCCATAAGAAATCTTATCAGGCGAAAAATTATATTTTCTCGGAATATCATCAAACAAAACAGGCAATTTATCAAACAGTTTGGACTGATTACAGGCAAATAACAATGCATTAAAGGAAATTACCGATCTGGGTGTACCCAAGTGTTCCATCTGCTCAAACGTTCTCATAGCGTGGTCAAACATGCCAGCTTGACCATAGGAGCGAATTAGAGTGGATAAGAAGGGTTCTTGCGTGATTTTAGGGTCCTGTTTGTGGGATTCTAGTAGGTTTTCAATGTCATCGAAACGCCGAGATTTGGCGAGACGGCGGACAGTTAAATCTTGGGCGTAGCGAGAGGAGACAGGAGAGGAGTAGTGTTTGGAAACGGAGGAGTAGATTTCCAAGGCTTTGTCAGGGTCGTATTCAGAACGGAGTCTGGACTTGGCTTGAGAGATTGACATTGATGACTTGGATGACATAAAACGGCGAAGATGGCAGAAGTTGGAGGACATCTTTAGGGTTTTTGAGGTTTTAGGTGCAAGATGACGTTGGATACAGGGTTTAAAAAGCCAACCCAGTTTTGGAAAGTCTCACCTTCCGGAGAACTGTGTAGATTTGGTTAGAGTGCCCCCTAAGGTTTTAAAAAAAGATCAATCTCCCCCTAAATCCCTAACGCCATCCAAGCTTAGTCAAATTCACCAGGGTAAAGTCGTCTTTTCACTTTCTGTCCTTTCTCTTTTATCTCCCCCTCCTTTTTCCGTTTTTCTGTTTCTCCCCGTATTCTTTCCTTTTTTAAGTTTTTTACTTTCTCCCTCTTTCTTTCCTCTTTTCATTTCCTTCTCACCGTGACCATCCATAGAGCTTTATGAAGATTTGGTTAATTTTTTTTGTTGTTTGATGATGATTAAACTTGCTTAATGGTTGTTATATGTTAACTTGTGCTTGATTGATAGAATTGTGGTTGTTTAGACTCTGGTGATTGGGTTTGTGCGTTCATGGCAAAAATTGGATCAAACTTGTAAACATGATGAACCCCTTGACCAAGGTGAGTTATGTTTGTTTTTGTTTAATCCAGAACGGCTGAAACGTGGACCCAAAGAGTTGATAATAATTAACACCAAAGGAGGAAGAAAGGGTATGAAAAACCCATAATTTTTCTGTAGGGGTTTTAGCGAAATGGTTTAGAGTTCATAAATTCCATCATCCTTTCTCCATTTGGGTTCCCGTATTTAATCTTCTCTGTATCACGATTTTATTTTTTTTTATTTTTTTCTCATTTACATAGTAGTTTTTCAATTATAAGCTAATGTCTCAACTCTCAAGCAATCGCAGAAATAAACATCTGATGATCGCAATGCTTAGTATAAAATTTTGTGAAAAGAAAAAAAAAAAGATCTGTTCAAATCTAGCAAAAATGTTATTGGATATCAATAGAGCACATTCACTATTCTAACTAATAATAGCCGGAACAATATTCATAATGACCCCTGAGCAAACAATCAAAATAGTATAACTAACAACATTACACCAAAAACTCTCAAAGAACATTCTTGTAAACCATCTAATACCACGGGCCTAGTCGACTGAATGTCAGAGCAGTTCTTTTCAGAAGAATACTATCCATCATAATCCCCCTGAGCAAACCTGTTTTCCGGGTAAAACACAGCGACCACTTGATTCCCACCAAATTTTCTTCCATTCATCCCTGTCCGGGCCTTTGAAGCACCATCAACATCTGCATACTCTAAGAATACCTGGAATGAACAAGAAAATTGTACTCAGCACCATGGATCCCAACAATCACTAGAGCAAGTTTTGGTAAAAAGAACAAAGAATGTCAACACCATAAAATCATACCCACCCAGGAGCACTATAACATTTGGGCAATGAGGCCACTCACCACCCAAGAGAATTTTGGCTCACTAACATGTTTAATGTATGTGCAAGGCAATGTCAGTGTGGTTGGACACTTGATGGATATTTGACACCTCACAATACTATAAATGTTTTAACAGTAAATACAGGCACAGAAGCCGCAAATAAACATCATACCTTTCCAACTCCTGGTAATAGTTCACCATTGGGGCTTGGGCGTGGAATGACAACATTCACCAATGCACCTGCATATCAAGTGTGAAAATTTTGGAATAGACAAAAAACTTTAAAAATTGTTAGAAAAACATATCAAGGTGAATATAAAATAAACAAATTGAAGGTTATGGAGTCTTCTATCTGTGTATATTAGGCCTGATTCTTTATAGCAGAATGTGGGACTACAAAAGGCTGTAAAACAGACATATACACAAAACAAAGAAAATAAAGAAAATTAATAAATAAGCAACAACATTCACAAGGTAAAAAAGGGCCAAGTAGGAAAACAAAATTCAAGATATTTACCAAATTTCCCTCCTTCTGTTCTCATGTCTTCTAAAATATCTTCATACTCCTCATCATCCTTGAGCTCATCTGCAGTAACTACTTGAGTTAAGCACACCACCTTGGTCGGAACTGCACCAGGTTGTAACATAAGCCTCTGCACAAGAAAAGAAACAATAAATTAACCTACAAATCATATAGATTACTTACCAAACTAGGAATTAGAATAATAAGGGATATAAATATTAACTAATAGGAGGATATGGAAACAATAAATTAACTACAATACTAATTACTTAGCAAACTAGGAAATAAAATAATAAGGTATATAGAAATTAATTAACAGTATAGCTGGGATAGAATGATATCGTGAAGATTTGTTTCCCACCCAGAAGAAAAAAAATTAAAAAAAAAAAAATGCAGAGAAGATGAGAATGAAATCTAAATTGTCACCTGCAACGCAATCTGCTGCTGAGCGTGTAATAGTACACTCTCTTGCTCAGGTTTAGGTTGGTTAGCACCCTGGTTCGCACGCCTAACAGTGAGAGTCTTATCACCCATTTTTATCCCATTCAGGGCAGCACATGCAATGTCCGTAACTGAAAGATCTTGATAAACACAAAACGCATAGCCTTTGGAGTTTCCAGTTTCTCTATCTTTAACCAGATCAAAACCACGCAGGGGCCCAAAAGACTCCAACAACTCCCTGATCTGCGCTTCTGTGAAGTAATAGGGAAGCCCACCCACAAAAATGCGGTCTGGGCCCTCAAGCCCACCAGCAGAACCTGGAGTTAGACCAACAGCAGCTAAATTAAGATTAGGGTTGGGCTGGCTGGGACCAAGTGTTGCAGCGAGAGATGGGTTATAATCACTGGGCCTCCTCACCTTGACAGGGGCTCCCTGTAAATTTAACATGTCAGTACCTGGTAACAGCCTAATTCAGAATAGTAAATTGCACAAATCAAATAGAATTTAATTGAGATCCAAGAGGACTTGAGGAAAAACAAAACAGAAATGAAAAGAAAAGAACCTCAAAAATAATCCCATCTAAAGCCATTGCATTACTGGCTTCCTCAACAGATCTCATCTCAACAAAAGCGAACTTTTTTTCATGGTTTATGTAAACATTAACAACAGCATCCCCTGGGCAGAACCAACATGCATAAGTCAATCAACTATCTAAAACAGGAGATACTTGTACATAAATATATGTCAAACATCAACACACCTGGACCAGCTGTGTTTCCTCCAATTGCAGCCATAACTTGGCTAAAGAAAGTAGCAACAGACTGTAGCAGAATATGAACGGTCAGAAATAAAATGGACATAAAAGATGGCAATATGCATTTCAGTTATATGTCAAACCTGTTCGTTCGCTGTTGGGGGAAGTCCTCCAACATATACTCGCCTAGCATGCCTAGTAGCCTGAAAGAAGAAAATAAATCATATATGTTTAAAAAATAAAATTTTAGGAAAGTAACTATAGAATGTGCAAAAATCAAGCAAACCTGCTGAGTCATTGCCTGAACTGGCATAACAGGAAGAGCACCAAACTGCTGCATGAAAAGAAAATGGCCAAAAAGTTAATTTATACAGAACGAAAAAGCATGATCAAAAAATATACCTTCTATAGGAGTGAGTGAACAAATACCTGACCAGTAGCCAATGGGAAAATGTTTGGGAACATGCCAGGAATGGCTGGACTTGTCCCAGGAATTTGACCTGAGAAGGTAATTAAACTCCATATCAGAGCACATACATGAATCATCTTACTCTATTGCAGTTAAAAGACCAAAATGACTTCTACAGCACATTTTCCTAGGCAACCAATTTCATTAAGCAATGCCTAACCTCTCACAATATATTTACCAAATGGATGAAAGAAATACATCATATACAAGTTTTGGAGGAAATATTTGCAAGACTACCAAAAATGGCAAGGTTGAAGACGAACAAAACCCATCAAACCGGTGCATTGATTCCTTCTTGTACATTAAAGCTACAGAAGTCGGCTCACGCCCATTGTCAGCAGAGTGGGACAAGTAGCCCAACATTGCCTTCTTACAACAAAGACAAGACATAGAAACATACAAAACAAACACCAAACACAACAAAAAAACCAAAAACTCTCTCAGTTCCAGAATTATTTCACTAATTAAAAAATAAAAATAATAATTGAGCCCATCCAGAGACCACAACTTCAATAGGTTATATGATGAACAAAGTAGAAGAACAAAATTAAGCTTACCAAAATCACACCATGTTATTTTGTACGAACTTTCCACACTAGATCAACCAAAACAAAAAAAATAACAGTTAAAAGAGTAACAATATTAAGTATATAGGATGATGCATATACCTGCAGCAGCAACAGCAGCACCAGCAGCTACCATTGCAGAAGCAGGAGGTGCCATGTCAAATCCACTTATCCTTTTGCTGTAAGTGAATGCGGTTAGTATACCAACAACAGAACAATGTAAAATTGATAGGAAAAGGAAGAAAGAAAGAAGACCACATGGAAATATTATTATCACCACAACCTGGCAAAGACTGCCAAAAAGAAAGCTACACCACACCCCGTCTAACAACAAAAACATAAGAGACTGAAAATGAAAAGAATACATCAGAATATACTATAAAGATAATAGTTGAAAACTTCAATTAAACAAAGCCTTTTCTAAGTAAAAGGTTATACACTCCCAACAGAATTCATGCAATCTCATCAGAACTTTTAAAACAAACAAGACTAACAAAACTTAATAACAATTGTCACTCAATTATAAACTTCCCAATCAAAGAGTATTAAATCATGACAAAAGTATGGAAACAAATGCACAACTAAAGTTCCTAAAAAGAGATTTGACATATTACGAGAACAAGCAACCACACACAAAAATAGCAAAGATTTAGCAAGAACTAAAAAAAAAAAAAAAATAAAAAAAAAAAAAACTTCGAGAAGCTAAATAAACTTCAGAAACTAATATATCGAATATCATCACAAATAGGGACAAATGACATGAATATGGAAGCTGACAAAATCTTCTTTTATAACATACCTCTTTGAACGTGAGCGAGAACGTGACCTTGATCTGTGCTCAGATCTACCCTGAGATCGAGAACGGCGTATGTGCCTGCTTTCTCTGTCATAATCTCTCCGCCTACAAATAAAAAATATCAACTAAAGAAATGGAACTAGTTTGTATGTAAAACCAAGGATAGAATATAAAAATGGGGCTGAACTCACAAAATTACTCTGCTTTTTTTACCTGTCATAATCTCGGCTTCGGTGATAATCATCATCATCATCTCTATCCCTCCTCCTTTCACTGCGTTCTCTACTACGGTCCCTGTGGCGATCTCTGTGGTGACGATCACGATCCTTTTCTTTGTCCTTTTCCCTATCTCTGTCTCTGTCCCTATCTTTGCTTCTCTCCTGATCCCTGTCCCTGTCACGATGCCGATCCCTATCCCGGTCACGGTCCCTCTCCTTATCACGACTTTTTTCTCTTTCCTTTTCTCTGCTTCTTGAAGATTCTCTTTCATAATCTCGAGATCCACGCTGCAAATGAATAAATTGAATTAAAACTAATTAGTGAAAGATGACTCGATAATTATGACTTCTATAAGTATATAAATGAAACTATGTCCTAAGATAATAATTATGACTTCTATAAGTATATAAATGAAACTATGTCCTAAGATAGTTTGATGTAAGTAATTTCTATAGGTACATAAATGAAACTGTCTTAAGGTAGCATGCTGTAAGCATCTCACATGATTAAACAGAGAGAACATGAAGCATCGACTGAAATGATAAAAATAACCCCAGATAAATAGTAATTCATTTCAGAAATTTTACAGATGCGAATCCATAAACAGAGAAATTCAGAGTTAAACACATGATTAAGCAAACAGAAACCCGGACAATGTTAAAATTTCCAGCGACTCATGTGACATAAGAAGCCACATAGATTAACGCCTCTGGGACCTTTTACATGGCTCGGTTGCAACTAACTAATGTGATATTGAGTCTCTGTAAAAAATTTCATACAAGAAAACACATCTAACGTTCTTATAAATTGATCTGAAATTGAATACAGAAAGCAAACGCAAAGACTTAAGTGAGAGAGTATTAATACCTGAGTTGTAATAAACCCTACGACAATACGAAGATGCAATCTCTAATAAAAGCATTTTCATCTCATCAAAGAATTCAGAACATCATCAAAAACCCTCAAAATCTAGAACTAACAAAAAACCCTAATTCCACACTTCAAAAAGACAGTTATCTAACAATTCGAAAGAAATCAACATTGAAACAATTAACAAAATAAAAATAATAGATTTATATGTATGTGAGTAAAACAATATGAATACCTGAGATTTGGAGTCGCTGTAATCATCAGTAGCACGAGGCTGCGGGGAGGAATCAAAAGCGTAATCATTGTTGTTGTTGTTGTTGTCGACGTCTTCACCGTTAAGTTCGTAATCAGCCATCTTTCAGGTTGATTACTTATCTTGCTATCTCAAATGAGATTTGTCTTACTTTGCTTTAGCTTCAAAATTAAAGCGTAGAGAATTCTAGGGTTTGGGAGAAAAGGGCTTGTCTGCCTCTCTTTAAACAACGCCTGCTTTGTGGAAATTTGATATAATGTATTATTGCAAGTGGCGACGAGGATAGGAAAATCGTGATGTGACATTAAACTAAAGTGAAGGGTATTATAGTAAAATCGAATTGTCAAAGTCATGTCATGTATAGAGTTACATGTTAGATTTATTAAACTTCTTAATTGATTGTAATTAAAAAACCTCTTAATCGATAAGACAGAATAGTAATTATTCTCCGAATTTATTTGGTTGAAATGGATAAATCATACATTTACTTTTGTTAAAGTATATTAATAGTCTAAGTCAAATCAATAATGCTTGACTTACCGATTAAACTATCGATTTGGCATACTGATTGAGTTAAATTTTGAGTTTGGATAATTGGGTAGGTGGGTCGGTATGTGAAAATCGGTAGCTTAATCGGTAAGTGTAGTATTACTGAAGTCAAATTAGGATTTATTCATATAAAATTGTATTAGTATGAATAATACTATTCTAAATTTGTATACACAAAATCAGTTTAGACAAGAACCATGAGAGCCTATGAACTTGGGAAGAGTGAGTTGAGTATAGAACCATTTAGACTAACGCTAGGAACCAATTTTATTAGGGCCAGTCAGTTGAGCTCACTCTTGGTTGGAGGTAGGGATGTATACGAGCCGAGCCGAGTATCTCTATACTCAAGCTCGGCTTGTGATGAATAGTACTGAGCTCGAGCTCGAGCGAGCTTCAATATTCGTATTCAAGTTCGAGCTCGGTACTGTGAAGGTGTACTCGAGCTCGAGCTCGCTTAATCGAACTCGAGCCTGATCGAGCTCGATCAAACTCAATACTAAAATATTGTATTTTCTCTTTCTCCCTTCATTTTCTCTTTCTTCCTTTCACCTATCAGGCTATCACCTCATTTTTTTTTCTCTTTCTCCCTTCATTTTCTCTTTCTTTTTTTCACCTATCACCTCATTTTGTCACCTCATCTTTTTTTCTCTCTTTCTCCCCGTCCTCTTCTCTTTTCGCCTTATTCCCTTCTCTTTTCTTACTTCTTCAGATCCTTTGCTTTGTCTTTTTTTCTTTTCTTTCTCCCCATTCTTTTTTCTTTCTTCTTTACTTCTTCCATATTCTCTTCCCTATTCTCACCTCCTCTTCTCTTTCTTCTTCTGTTCCTTCCGATTTTCTCCTTCACTGTTTTTCTTTCACATTCTAAGCTTGAATGGAACCAAGGATGAATGAAGGTGAAAGAGAAGATGAATGAAGTTGGATTTTTGAAGCCGAAAGAAAAATCCCAAATGGGTTTTGAGTTTTTGTTTGAGCTTTGAAATGGGTTTATCGTTTTTGTCTGTGAATGGGTCAATGGGTGTTGTTTGTAATTTTGACAACTTAAAAATAAAACTTTTGAAATTTTGCAAATTAGCCCCCAAAGCTCGTTTAAGCTCGCAAGCTCGACGAGCTGAGCTCAACTCGGATCGAACTCAGCTCGTTACTGTTCACGAGCTGCTCGAGCTAGAGCTCGAGCTCGATAGTTTTCGAGTCGAACTCGAGCTTACGATGAGTCGAGCTCGAGTAGCTTGCGAGCTACTCGGCTCGTGTCTCATCTCTAGTTGGAGAATGTGATTTTCTATCAGATTACGTGATGAAGGTATAATTGTCTCAACTTTATCTTACTTTTAAAGGGGAGGGTTGTGAAAATTAATGTGTTGGGGTACGTTTGGTCCATTATTTTGGATAGGATTTTGGGAATAATATTAGATAGTTGAGTAGGGTTATGATTACGAGAATAAGATTTGCAAAATATGTGTTTGGTAGAGTATTTTGACTTTGATATTTGTGTTGAATATTTGATTGATATATTTTTTTATAAATGATTTATTAATATAATATTTTGTTGCATTTTATTAAAATAATATATTATTAGTAGAGTATTTTGACTTTGATATTTGTGTTGAATATTTGATTGATATATTTTTTTATAAATGATTTATTAATATAATATTTTATTGCATTTTATTAAAATAATATATTATTAGTAGAGTATTTTGACTTTGATATTTGTGTTGAATATTTGATTGATATATTTTTTTATAAATGATTTATTAATATAATATTTTGTTGCATTTTATTAAAATAATATATTATTAGTAGAGTATTTTGACTTTGATATTTGTGTTGAATATTTGATTGATATATTTTTTTATAAATGATTTATTAATATAATATTTTATTGCATTTTATTAAAATAATATATTATTATATTTATATAACTTATCCAGTTACATTTTAATAATATTAAACAGTTTATTGGTAATTTTGTCACCCGATAATTTTAAAAACAAAAACCCATATTAATTTCAAGTACTAATCCAACTGTTTAAAACACATCACATTAATACATATATGACAAAAGTACTAATTATCAACCCTTACAATCATTCTTACATATTTACTCCATTAACAACTACGACCAGAGGCAGACCCAGGTGTTAGGGCCAAAAATAGTCCCCGGCCCAAATAGGGAAATAAGATCACTTGTGAAGAATGACCAGGCCCAATCTTGCAGAGGCTCAATTCGGATTAGCCCTATCTGATACGAAGTATAACCGGCCCGAACTACATGGGCGCGAGCCTCTTAAGCCTTGTCTAATATCTAGGCCTATGAGTGAGCCCATAGCCCATAGCCCCTTCAACATTTTCCCATTCTTGATCAATCCCCTATTCAAGGTCGTCTTCCTCTTTCCTGGCGACTTTCCCACTTGAGGGTCATTCTCCTAAATGGAATTAACTTCCTATTTAGACACTGATAAGGACGGCTGATTACGGCCCTGATTCTTCTAGGGTTGGCATCAGTGTCACACTAGGACTCCTACTCCCACTAGGATTGGAAGACCAGACGACCACTATATAAGCAGAGGCCAGTCCTCTCACAAAGGACATGGACATTACACCTTCACACCCAAGGCTCTTTACTTGAGAGTCTCGCTTATTCGTCGTAGTCACAGTCCCCAACTAGACTTCCGGTAATCTCTCATTCCCTAGCCTCACTATATTAGCCTCTCAACCTTGCTGACTTGAGCGTCGGAGTGCCTACGGTAAACACCACCCTGGTGTTTCCCGTTCGCTTCACGCGTGTGTTTCTCTACGTGTGCAGGTACAGCAGATCGCTAGTGGCCTCAACCTCACGGGATCAGACCCCTCTTTTCGTACAGGTAGATTTTTACGTCTACAGTTTGGCGCCCACCGTGGGGCCTCTAGCAATCATTCGGCGTGACGAACCTTGCTACGTGGAGGAATATTCCATGGCTGACAATCCAGACGACGTTAACTCAGGCCTCGAGGCCAGACTGGAGGCTTTGACCGCTCTCATGCAACAAAACTTAGACAATGTGGCCGCACTAGAAGCCAAAAACACATCCATCAGGGTCGAGAACCAGTCGCTAAAAGAGAAAGTAAGTCGATTCTATGAACTCGAGTTTCTGCCCAACCAAGCACCCCCCAATCGATTCCGCACCATTGTCCCATCCATGCAACCCCTCTCCACACCAGAGCATCAACCCTCGGATTCTGGTAAAGGGCCGCGTCCGCTTAACGCATTGGCGCTCGACTACTCCGTTCTAACTAACGGAGATAAAGATACAACAGGGCGCGGTCCAGTCGACCCATCCCAGCCTCATGATCAAAACGATCCAACAATAGAAAACCCAAAGGATCAACCCATCTCCACCATACCACTTCCCCTCCAGTCAACCCAAACACAAACCCCCTCCTGCCTGGCTCACCCTCGCGGGGTGAACGGCCAAACCAAACCAACTCCAGCTCTTGAGCCCGTCCATCCCGAAAGACCGAACGACTACCAGACAACTCCCCTGACCGTTCATGTAGGGAAGAACAACAGAACAGTGACAATGGGAGTCATCCAACCAGAAGGGATGAACGAAGACACATGCTACCAAGGAGCGCACGAAGGACTAATCTATCAGTCTACCCCCCGAAGGATGACCCCATGAGACGTACCAGACCCGGTAAGACGGGATGACCCGATAGTATCCCCTTCCCCTGTGGAACAGTTACTGGCCAAGAGACTGGCCGACGTTGAGGCAGTAATGAGGCGTATCCCAGGAATGCCGATCCCAACCAAGAAGAGCAGACCGAATTGTTACGCCGATTCACCTTTTGCAGACGAGATCGCCCTGGCTGACATGCCCCAGAAATTCACTATCCCCAACATGAAACCATATGACGGTACCACTGACCCGGACGACCACATAGCCTCATACAAGCAGCGGATGTTCACTGTTTCCATACCCCGACCGCTTAGAGAAGCCTGCATGTGCAAAAGTTTCGGTTCTAGTTTGTCCGGCCCGGCGCTCCAATGGTACACGAACCTCCCGAACGGATCCATCGATTCATTCGCTCAGCTTACTGACACCTTTGTGGAACAGTTCGCCAGCAGCAAGAAGCTAGAGAAGTTGTCGGCCGACTTGTACCGAGTATACCAACGAAGGGGGGAACCATTAAGAGAGTATGTTAGCAGATTCAACAAAGAGAAGATCTCTATTCCTTCCTGTAACCCCGAGACTGCTGTGGACGCTTTCAGAAAAGGCCTCCTCCCAGATGGAGAACTATACAAAGAGCTTACAAAGCTGGGCTGCACCACCATGGAAGACGCTCTGGCCCGAGCCGTTATCCAGATAAGGTGGGAGGAAGATGAGATGAACCGAGCCGCCCATTCCAGATACGAACCAAGGCGGAACGACAGGAAGCCAGAGCCTAGACCGGTAGAACACCGCTACCAACCCCCCGCACGGAATCTGGGCAGAGCCAGGAGACCATATGACCGCCGACCCTTGAGAAGTGATAACAGGCATTTGGGATCGAACCAGTTCAAAATACCAGAATACAGTCTTAGCATCGAACCAACCCAGGTCGTAGCGATAATGAAAGGAATGGGATCCGCTGTCAAGTGGCCTGGTAAGCTCAATCCCGAGGCCAGGAGAGACACAACCAAGTGGTGCGAGTTCCACAATGATCACAGGCATAACACTGCAGACTGCATCACCTTGCGGCTCGAGGTTACCGCACTTCTGAAGAGAGGACATCTCCGTGATCTACTCACTGATAAGGGAAAGAACACCATTAGCCAGAAAAGCTCCAAACAACAGTCGCCCCCTCTGCGAGAACCCACACCGAAGGGTTTCTGCTCGCTAATCTCCGGAGGATCAGAAATCAGTGGGGTAAGTTACTCATCAGCGAAACGGCATGCTAGAACTAACCACCATGAAGTCCAATCCGTCCACCCGGTCTCGAGGACATACTCCCATCAGGTAATTCAGTTCGAGGATGACGAACCGATCACCCTAGCCGCTCCTTACCACGACGCTTTAGTCCTCTCCCTGCAAATAGCCAACATCCTAGTGAAAACAGTGTTCGTAGATGGGGGTTCGTCAGCAAATATCCTATTCCTCGAAGCAGTCAAAACAATGGGGCTGGAAGAAGCAAATATCAACAGGCGACCGACACTGCTAGTAGGATTCAGCTCGGAGCAGAAATATACTATCGGGGAGATCACCCTTCCTATCTATGTCGGCGGAGTAAACAAACAGACAGTCTTCCTGGTGATCGACTGCCCATCCCCCTACAACGCCATTTTGGGCCGCCCCTAGATCCACGACATGCGGGCAGTCCCATCTACTTTCCATCAGACAATCAGGTTTCCGACCAAGTGGGGAGTACAGGAGATCAAGGGTGACCCTAAAGCTTCTAGGGACTGCTACAAAAACGCCTTCAAAGGCAAGGGAAACTCTTCATAGTAATTACAGTCTCGTCCAATCCCTCGAACAGAGCCTGACCAACCGACCATTGAGGAGTTGGATGAAGTGCAAATACATCCGAATGACCCGGAGAGAAAGACACACATAGGCTCCCGCCTCGACCCCAAGACAAGAGAGAAGCTGATAGAATTTCTAAAACAGAACGAAGACTGTTTCGCCTGGTCCCATGCTGACATGACCGGAATCAATCCAAACGCAATGGTCCATCAGCTCAAGGCAGATCCAGACCACCCGCCAGTCAAGCAGAAGAGGAGGAAATTCGCACCTGAGCGAAACCAGATCATCAATGAAGAGATTGAAAAGCTCCTAAACAACGGCATGATCAGAGAGGTCCACTACCCCGAATGGCTGGCAAACGTTGTAGTTGTAAAGAAAAAGAATGGGAAGTGGAGAGTCTGCATCGACTTCACTGACTTAAACAAAGCCTGCCCCAAGGATTCTTTCCCTCTCCCACATATCGACATGATGGTAGACGCGACCGCAGGGCACGAACTCCTCAGTTTCATGGACGCCTTCTCGGGATACAATTAGATTCTGATGCATGCGGACGACCAGGAGAAGACAGCTTTCATCACAAAGAAGGGAACCTATTGTTATAAAGTAATGCCGTTTGGACTGAAAAACGCCGGAGCCACCTACCAACGTCTGATCAACAAAATGTTCTCTGACCACTTAGGGAAGACCATGGAAGTTTACATCGACGACATGCTCGTCAAATCCCTGATTGCCGACAACACCTCGACCACCTTAGCCAAGCATTCGCCATTCTCCGGAAGTACAACATGAAACTGAACCCAGAAAAGTGCTCATTCGGCGTCTCATCAGGTAAATTCTTAGGCTATATGGTTACTCAGCGAGGAATAGAAGCAAACCCCGACCAGNCAATTACAGTCTCATCCAACCCCTCGAACAGAGCCTGACCAATCGACCATTGAGGAGTTGGATGAAGTGCAGATACATCCGGATGACCCGGAGAGAAAGACACACATAGGCTCCCGCCTCGACCCTGAGACAAGAGAGAAGCTGATAGAATTTCTAAAACGGAACGAAGACTATTTCGCCTGGTCCCATGCCGACATGACCGGAATCAATCCAGACGCAATGGTCCACCAGCTCAAGGCAGATCCGGATCACCCGCCAGTCAAGCAGAAGAGGAGGAAATTCGCACCTGAGCGAAACCAGATTGTCAATGAAGAGATTGAAAAGCTCTTAAACAACGGCATGATTAGAGAGGTCCACTACCGCGAATGGTTGGCAAACATTGTAGTCGTAAAGAAAAAGAACGGGAAGTGGAGAGTCTGCATCGACTTCACTGACTTGAACAAAGCCTGCCCCAAGGATTCTTTCCCCCTTCCACATATCGACATGATGGTAGACGCGACCGCAGGGCACGAACTCCTCAGTTTCATGGACGCCTTCTCGGGATAACCTTCATCACAGAGAGGGGAACCTACTATTACAAAGTGATGCCGTTCGGATTGAAGAATGCCGGAGCCACCTACCAACATCTGGTCAACAAAATATTCTCTGAACACTTAGGGAAGACCATGGAAGTGTACATCGATGACATGCTCGTCAAATCCCTGATCGCCGAACAACACCTTGACCACCTTAGCCAGGCATTCGCTGTTCTCTGGAAGTACAACATGAAACTGAACCCAGAAAAATGCTCATTCGGCGTCTCATCAGGTAAATTCTTAGGCTGTATGGTTACTCAGCGAGGGATAGAAGCAAACCCCGACCAGATCAGAGCGGTCCTCAGCATACCATCCCTGACTTGCATCAGAGATGTCCAGCGCCTTGCAGGACGAGTGGCCGCCCTGAGCCGCTTCATCTCCAGGTCCGCTGACAAGTGCCACCTCTTCTTCCACGCCCTCAAAAAATCCAACAAGTTTGATTGGACCCCCTCATGCGAAGAAGCCCTACAACAGCTGAAGAGGTATTTGACTACCCCCCCGCTGCTTTCCAAACCCATGGACGGGGAGAAGCTCTACACTTACCTAGCGGTCTCAGAGACGGCCATATCAGCGGTGCTAGTTCGANAAAAAAAAAAAAAAAAAAAAAAAAAAAAAAAAAACAAACGGCTCTCCTAGTTTTTGCTAAATCATCCATCATATTTCAAGTATTCACATTTTAACCAAACTACTCCAGTTTAATGATCATTAACCACTCTAAGCTTAAGTCACACTTTTGTTAGTTTAACCACAGTTAAACTATAATTTTAACCTGTGCGACTTAGAACTTAAGACTGTGTTTGTTTTCCTATTCAAAATACTATCTTATCCAATCCTATCAAAATGCATATTTGTTTCAATATTCTTAAAATCTAATTTTATTATATTCAACTCAAAATATTTAGAGTTTTTTAACCCTTTAGGTTTGCTAATTAACTAAACACCCCCAACAATAAAAGTTTATAAATTGACAAAAACACCCACATCCACCTACATATTCCTGGTAGCCGGCCACCATTGCTAGAAGGTGGCCGAAATCTGCCAGAATGGCGCACAACCGACTGCATGTGGTCAATCGTGCGTCGATCTGGCCTTTTCCAACCATAACTACGGCGAAAGATCTAACCCTTTTCGGCCAGATCTAACCAGTCATGCTCCATTCTTGCGACTTCCGACCACTGTTTGACGATGGTGGCTGGCTGTTGACATGTAACGAGTGGATGAGGGTATTTTTGTTAATTTTAAAACTTTTATTATAGGGGGTGTTGTAAAGTTCTCTACACAACATAACTTAAATCATACTTAGGGTAGGATTTACTTACCTTTNCCCTCAAAGTGGACCCTCCTAGTAGACAGATCGAGTAATGTCAATGGAAGCGGACTCGGAATAGTACTGATCGTGCCAGAGGGTGACATCATCCAGCGAGCAGTCCGGTGTGGGTTCAAGTGCATGAATAACGAGGTCGAATACGAAGCCCTCCTAGTTGGACTTACCTTGGCCAGAGAAATTGGCGCCAAGAGACTAGAAGTGAAGTCGGACTCCCAACTCGTGGTCAATCAACTACAAGGTACGTACCAAGCACATGATTCAAAAATGACATCCTATCTGAGCATGGTCAAAGAGCTGCAGGCCGAATTCGAAGAGTTCTCAATAGTACAGATCCCCAGAGCTGAGAACAACCATGCCGACGCCCTCACCAACCTTGGCTCAACACTCCCATGTTCCTCCCAATCATCCATCCCCCTCTTATTCATGCAGTGGCCAGCCAACTGGAAGGAACCGCCACCTAACAAGTCCCCTGTAGAAGCGATGGGCGTTGAACAAGCCGACTGTTGGATGACCCCAATAGTAAAGTACCTGGAAGACGATGAGCTCCCGGCTGGCAAGAACGAAGCACGCCGATTGAAAGCAAAAGCTGCCAGATTCACCCTACATGAGGGCCAGCTCCTCAGAAAGTCGTTCTCGGGCCCCTACCTCAAATGCATAAGCCTAGAAGAGGCCCAAAGTGTTCTAGCCGAACTCCATGAAGGCGAATGCAACAACCATGCAGGGGGGCGCAGTCTTGCTCATCGGGTGATCACCGCGGGGTACTACTGGCCGACTATCCGCACCGACTCGACTGCTTACACAAAGAAATGCGATAGCTGTCAGAGGTTTGCTCACATCTCACACCTCCCACCAGAACGACTCCATTCCATTCTCACACCGTGGCCATTCATGAAGTGGGGAATGGACATCGTGGGAAAGCTACCTACTGCACCGGGGCAACGAGTCTTCATGTTGGCTGTGACAGACTACTTTACCAAGTGGATTGAAGCCGAAGCCTTCGCTCAAGTCAGAGACCGAGAGGTAAAAGCTTTCATCTAGAAGAACGTGATCTGCAGGTTCAGAATACCAAAGGAGATTGTCACCGATAATGGGTCCCAGTTCATTAGTTCAGGCTTCAGGGATTTCTGTGACATGTGGGGAATAAAGTTAAGCTTCTCAACACCCCGTAACCCCCAGTCTAACAGCCAGGCCGAGTCGTCAAACAAAACAATCATGCAGACACTGAAGAAGCGATTACAAAAAGCTAAGGGCGCATGGGTGGACGAGCTACCCGAAGTCCTTTGGTCACACCGAACCACGGCTCGATCATCAACTGGTGAAACACCTTTCTCCCTGACATACGGTTCAGAAACAGTCATTCCAGCCGAAGTATCAGTTCCGTCCACCAGGCTCCAGTGGGCGAACGAGAAATCAAATAGCCAAAACCTTTGCCGGAACCTAGACACTGTGGACGAGCTACGGGAACAAGCGAGCATCCGCAACGCAGTCTACCAGCAACAGGCCACCCGACATTATAACCGCAGCGTGAGGATCCGCACTTTCAAGATAGGCGACTGGGTCCTTCGTAAGGTCTTCCAAAACACGAAGGAGATTAACTCTGGCAAACTCGGCCCCANAAGAATTGAAGAATTTGAGAGACTATGGAGGTGAAAGTGGCATGCAAATGGGTAAGAGTGGCTAGGGTTTTACTCTTCAATTTGATATAACATAAAAATTATATATTAGTTTCCCATTTTGCCCTTGTACTTTCTTTAAAATTTCATCTTTATCCCTTAATCAATTACCATAATGCCCTCATTTTTATTGCATTCTCCATGAAATTCTATCTCTTTTCACTCCCCACAATTTCAAATAATTTTGAGTGAAAAGACCATTTTACCCTTAATGCAAGTTTAAGACATTTTTTTTTACATTTTCTCAAAATAACTTTAGCAAAAAATCAACTAAAGGTATAATAGCATAAATTAAATTACTTACCTCCATGTGGGCGTTACAGGTGTTTAGCTAAATTAATAAATGTAGGTGATTAAAAATAATTTAAATATTCTTAGAAAATATTTTCCAAAAATTTACCAAACACATTTTCAAATTCAAATCCTATTATTCGTAATAACAACCTAACTCAATTTTTTCAAAAATATTATTCTAAACACTGTACCAAACACAGCCAAAACTCTTACCCATTTAAATCAAAATCGACCTTTTATAAGATATTCATTTAATAAAAAAAATAAAAACTGAAAGACACGAGACCATGCTACGGTAGGTCTCCTGCTGACGAGTGCAATGTGGCCATGAAACTGTTTATCACCAAGAAGAAGAAACACACTTCCAAACTAGAAATATACTGAATTGTTATTGATTATAGATTGAATACAACCATCAGACTTTTCTCTAATAAATACATGTCTTACTTGTCTAGAATACTTTCTGTTAGGGCCAAAAATCGTCCTTGGCCCAAATAGGGAAATAGGACCAGTAGTGAAGAATGGCCAGACCCAGTCTTGCAGAGGCCCAACTCGGATTGGTCCTATTTGATACGAGGTATAGCCGGCCCAAACCACATGGGCGCGAGCCTCTTAATCCCAGTCCACTTCCTGGGTCTATAGGCGAGTCCAGAGCCCATAGCCCTTTCAATATTTTCCCATTCTTGATCAACCCCCTATTCAAGGTCGCCTTCCCCTTTCCTGATGACTTTCCCACTTGGGAGTTAATTCTCCTAATCAGAATTAACTTCCTTTTCGGACACTGATAAGACAGCTGATTACGGCCCTGATTCTTTTAGGGTTGGCATCAGAGTCATACTAGGACTCCTACTCCCACCAGGATTGGGAGACCAGACGACCACTATATAAGCAGAGGCCAGCCCTCTCACAAAGGACATCGACATTACACCTTCACACCCTAGACTCTTTACTTGAGAGTTTCGCTTATTCGCCATAGTCACAGTCCCCGACTAGACTTCCGGTAATCTCTCATTCCCTAGCCCTCACTATATTAGCCTTTCAGCCTTGCTGACTTGAGCGTCGGAGTGCCTACGGCAAACACCACCCTGGTGTTTCGCCCTGGAGCAGCCACACTAACTCGGTCGGCACACCGACGGAAAATCCCTTCGGCATACCACCATAGGGGGCACGCTCATACTCGTCCCAAGTCAACCTCGTGACGAACTTGCGGACGTATCACCCGACATCGGATCACTCGCGCGATCCAACCGACCGACTTCTAGGAAAATCAGTGTAAACTACCGACGCCCTTCAACACCGAACGGTGCCCTCCAAAAAAAGATTCAGACTCGGTCGACCCGTTCTACCGAAGTGAAACACAGTCGCCCCACCTAGCCGACCGAACGAAAGGGTGAACTAGCCTGCTCCCACAAACGAGTCTCTACTCTGGTTCGACCTATCCAACCGAACAAAACCTCAGCCAGACTCAAAGCACCGATCGTTCGCCCGACGACCGCCGCCACTAGAACTCAATTCTAGCGTCTGGTCCTTGATCACTACTCACTCGCCCTGAGAGCCGTTCCCCTAATCACTTTCGCCACTCGGTCAGACAGTACCGACCGACCAAACCACGCCAATGACTGTCTTCAGATCTAAACCCAAAACCCAGAAAATTCACCTACAACCAAATCTCGAATTCACGGAAAACTCAAACCAGAAAAATTCTCCAAATCCTAACACCAAAAACGCCTAGAAACCCAGTCTAAACCACCAAACTCAAAACTTCCTTGTTTTACTTTCCAGAAATCCTATCAAAAAGAAAAATCTACCTAAAGAACACAAAACGACGCCAAAGAAGAAATTACCTTGGAAGACGAAAGAATCACTTTCGCTCAAGAACCTGGGACAAAAACGAGAAAAAAGGAAGGAGATTTTTGAGAGAAAAACGCAAAACCAAACTGAAATGGAAGATGAACAGTCTGCTCCCAATTTTGTAAAGAAAAAGGCAGACAAGTGGCAGGCTATGATTGATCAATTGTCAGAAGTCTCTTCGTTTTCCCGCTTCGAAACGACGAACATTTCTCACCATACACCGTGGCAGCGATCCTAACACCTGGGAAATCGTGGAGCTACAGATTCGCACTCGGTCGACCAACCTCCCGACGATCAGCGGAAAATCCAGCAGTACGTTCTGATAGCCTATTAGAGGGACATGGCCGTTCGACCCATCCCACCGATCGAGCTTCCAGGCCAGGGCCTTCAGACGTCTCGCGTTCGACCGACCCGGAAGGCCCGAACGATGGACGCACGAGCTCGGCGTAGCCCGAGTTAAAACTTCAGGAAGCCACCAAGCCTCGTCATTCGCCCATCCGAGGCGAACAAGAAAGTCAACATGTTTGGCTCCCATCTCTTTCGTCCCTACAGCCCGACCGAATGGATCTCGGTAAACTTCTGTGTTGCCCGACTGGAAGGACGAATAACCGCCCTCGCGTGTTTCCGATAATCGTGCTAACGTACCGAGCGACCGACCTAGCTTTCGGCTTCTAGGCTCATCGAAACGATCAGGCCACGCGTGGCGATGTTCTTTTCGGGAAGGATACCGACCAAGACCCAATCAAATCACTTCGTCAGTCAACTTTCTCCAAAAATTGCTCATCCATGGGGAAAGACGAGTCGCCTTGAGTAGACTACTCTCTAACTTGAGATACTCAACTCAGAGAGTGGGGGACAAACTGTTAGGGCCAAAAATCGTCTGGCCCAAATAGGGAAAAAGGACATTAGCGAAGAAGGACCAAGCCAGTCCTGCAAAGGCCCAAGCCGTATCTCTTCTAACAGAGGAACAAACGGCCCAAACTGAGCGGGGACAAGCCTCTCAAACCTGGCCCATGTCCTAGGTCCATGGACAAATCCAAACCCACAACCCCCGGAATCCCTCCTCTTCAAATCGGCCTCGCCCGATGAACGTTCGTACACCTTCAAATCGGCCTCGCCCGATGAACGTTCTCACACCTTCAAATCGGCCTTGCCCGATGAACGTTCGAACACCCTCCAATCGGCCTCGCCCGATTGACGTTTGGACACCTGCAAATCGGTCTTGCCCGATAAACGTTCGGACACCCTCAAGACTGGACACCGCTGAACCGGCCTCATTCAACCTAAGAAACGTCACCCATCCAGGGGACTACACACTCGACCGGCCAAACTGGATGAACCAGTCCTACACCAGTGACAGCACCAAACCAGCCCAACATAAAACCCACGCGTCTCGGCCATCAGGCGACGACGAGGCAACATGCACAAATACAAGAGAAATAAAAGAGCAGGTGATTCATCCAAAGAAACATGAGACACCAACAGTCAAAAGTTATATATATATAAGGCGCCAAACGCCCAAGTTAGAAATACAGAGAACGGCACAGACGCCAGATGAAAGGGCATCGCAGGCCCTAAAACACAAAAAAAAAGGGGGGAAGGCACTAAGCATCCTCGGCATGAGTCTCGTCCTCCGTCAAGTCGGTTGCCTGGCATACACCACTAGTGCTCGGCCCCGGAGCCGGACCGCTCTCGTCCCCAACGCCTGGCTGACTGAGCTCAGGCGCCTGCTCCTCGCCCTGCCCCACCGGATGACCAATCTCCTCTTCCAATAACTCCTGCATGAGCAAAATGTCTTCATCCGGATCCCAATGAGACGTCCGCCCCTCTTTAAACTCCAACATGAGTTCGCCTCGGGCCTTAATAATGGCGTCATCAGCAATAGAGATGCACTGCTCCCTGAGGGATTCGACCTCCGTGGTCCTCTCGGCTAACTCACGACGCAGTCTCTCGACCTCAGCCTCACTATCCCGGAGGCGCTGCTGACTCTCCTGCTCAGCCTTCCGGGATGCTACCTCCTTTTGACGCAAACCAACGTTGGCCTTGGATATATCTTGTATTCGCTTTTCTTGCGCCACGACAGACCTCCTCAGATGGAGACTGCTAGTGAGTACCTGCAAAACAAAACCGGGCAATGAGAACGAAGTCAAACAAGAAAAGTAAACAAACACGCTCATACCTGAACAGCGCGGGATACGCCCCAGTCAGCGGCAGCAACCGCACCCATCTGGTTCAGACGCGCCTCGTCCGCGGGGAATAAGAAGGAGTCGGCCATCTTACTCATTGATGTTGCGTCCGAGTAAGTCGACGCAGTAGCCGGAATCGTGATAGTGATAGTCCCGGCCTCCTCATCCACAACGGCAGCCTGGGACGACCCGACTCCCGACGAGGGCTGCTGACTCGGTGGCTGCCGACTGGGCGGCGTCACCAGTACATCCTCGACCCTTACATCCGCTCTCACCAACGACTCCCTTTTCCTCTTCTCTCGACGCCTGGCGATGGATTCGCTCGCGCTCGGGACAGTCAATTTCTTCATGAGCGACTCTGCAAGGGCAAACTCTCCAACGGTTAGTGGGTTCAGCCCTGACTCACCAAAAATGAGATGGTTGGAGTACCGACTCAGGAGCACATCCCAAGTCTGCTTCAGCGAGGGAAAGGGAGTACCTCTCTGAATAGCCTCTACACCGGCCCAAAGAATACTGCTCCTCAGATTGGACTCTGCTAGCACCACTCGCCAATCCCTCTGCTCCAATGGGATGGCTAACACCCTCTGGGTAGCTACGTCCAAGCCGTCCCCGCTCTGCCCAGCGCGATTGAAATCGAGCTCTGCAAACAAGAAACATAATCAAGATTTAGTAATCAAAAGCACGAAAGAAACAACTAAGTTCTCACCAGTGGCTCGCCACCCGATCGGGATCTCGCCCATGCCCCTATCTCCAAAGACGGCCTGACCCTTCAAAAAAAAGTAACGGTCTTTCCAGTTTTTGTCACTGGACCGCAGGTCGGTCACCAGATGAGACCTATCGTGCCTCAAGTTCAGTAGATATCGACCCTTCTCCTTATCGTTCTCCTTCAGGAAGTACGAGTACAGCAGCTCGTGCAACCCAAACACAATCTGATGCCGAACACACAGATCCTCCAAAGCCATCAACAGCCTCCAGGCGTTCGGCATAAGCTGGGAAGGGGCGATAATGAAATGATTCAGCACCTCCCAGACTAGGCGAGGCACAGGCAACCTCAACCCATCGTGGAACCACTTCTCATATACGCAGACCCAACCTTCAGCCTCCCAATCAACACGCTCGTACGACCGTGGGGCCTGAACCTTAACAGAAACAGGAATATGATACAGGGTACGGAGGCGCCACACGTCACTATCCCTCAGCACGGGCGGATAGTCCCTAGTTAGAATCCCACTACCCTGCTGGCTCGGCCCCTCTTCAGAGCTACTACCGGACGTAGAGGGTCTGTCAGCTCCGGAGTCTTCCCCACTCCTACCATACCGACCCGCGCCACTCGGCCCAGCTCCACTCGGCCCAGCTCCACTCAGCCCAGCTCCACTCGACCCTGGAGCAGCCACACTAACTCCGGTCGGCACACCGACCGGAACATCCCCTTCAGGCATTACCACCATAGTGGGGGCACGCTCATACTCGTCCCCCAAGTCCACTTCGTGACTCGAACTTTCGGACGTATCACCCGACATCGGATCACTAGCCCGCTCCAACCGACCGACTCCTACACCAAACCGAACTTAGCCTCGGTCGACCTGTTCTACCGAATGGAACACCAGTCGCCCTACCTAGCCGACCGACCGAAAGGGTGAACTGCCTGCTCACCGCAAACGAGTCTCTACTCCGGTTCGACCTATCCAACCGAACAAACCTCAGCCAGACTCGAAGACGCTGACTCGTTCGCCCCGGACGACCGATCCACCTGAAACGTCAATCCCAACAGTCTGCTGTCCTTGATCACTACTCACTCGCCCCGAGCGACCGTTCCCCTAGTCACTTTTCGCCACTCGGTCAGACGTACCTACCGACCCAAACCACGCCAAAATTGACTTCGTCTTCCAGATCTAAACCCAAAACCCAGAAATTTCACCTACGACCAAATTCTTCCCAGAAACTCACCGGAAAACTCAAACCTAGAAAATTTCTCTTGTATCCTAACGCCAAAAACGCCTAGAAACCCAATCTAAAACCACCAAACTCCAAACTTCCTTGCTTTACTTTCCAGAAATCTTATCAAAAAAGAAAAATCTACCTAAAGAACAACAAAACGACGCCAAAAAGAAGAAATTACCTTGTAAGACTGGAATAGAATCACTTTCGCTCAAGAACCTGGGACAAAAACGCAGAGAAAAGGGTGAAGGATTTTTGGGAGAAAAACGCGAAACCAAACTGAAATGGAAGATGAACAGTCTGCTCCCCAATTTTGTAAAGAAAAAGGGGGGACACGTGGCAGGCTATGATTGATCAGTTGTCAGAAGTCTCTTCGCTTTCCCGCTCTCAAAACGACGAATCATTTCTCACCATACACGTGGCAGCGATCCTAACCACCTAGGAAATCGTGAGACTGTCCAGATTCCGCATCTCGGTCAACCGACCCTCCCGACCGACTCAGCCGGAACATATCAGCAGTACGTCCTGACACACCCAATATTTGACCCAGTAGCGCACATGGCCGATCGACCCATCCCACCGATCGAGTTTCTCAAGCCATGAGCCTTCTCGGACGCCTCGCATTCGACCGACCCGGAAAGCCCGAACGATGGACGCATGAGCTCGGCGTAGCCCGAGTTAAAACCTTCAGGAAGCCATCAAGCCTCGTCCATTCGCCCATCCGAGGCGAACGATGGGTCAACATTTTTAGTCTCCCCATCTGGTCGTCCCTACAGCCCGACCAAAGGGATCTCGGTAAACATTTTGTGTTTCGCCCGACCGGGAAGGACGAACAATCGTTCTCGCGGTGTTTCTACGATAATCGTGCTAACATACCGAGCGACCCGACCTAGCTTTCGGCTCTTCGACTCACCGAACCGATCAGACACAACGCGTGGCGGCATGCTCTTGTTCGGGAATGGATATCGACCAAGACCCAATCAAATCACTTGCGTCAGTCTACTTTCTCCAATGATTGCTCGTCCATGGGGAAAGAACGAGCTCGCCTTGAGTACGACCTACTCTCTAACTTGAGATACTCAACTCAGAGAGTGGGGGACAAACTGTTAGGGCCAAAAATCGTCCTTGGCCCAAATAGGGAAAAAGGACCAAGTCCAGTCCTGCAGAGGCCCAAGCCATAGTTCTCTTCTAACATGAGGAACAAAACGGCCCAAACTGAGCGGGCACAAGCCTCTCAAACCTGGCCCATGTCTTAGGTCCATGGATAAATCCAAAGCCCACAACCCCCTCAGGATACTTTCCTATTCCTGATCAATCTCCCATTCAAGGTCACCTTCCTATTCCTGATCACTTTCCTACTCGGAGTTACTCCTAATTAGAATCACCTTCCTATACGGACACTGGTAAGACAGCTTACCACAATCCTAATTCTTCTAGGGTTTGTATCAGAGTCGTACTAGGACTCCTACTTCTACCAAGATTGGGAGACTAGACGATCACTATATAAACAGAGGCCAGCCCTCTTACAAAGGGAGATCGACATTACACCCTCACACCCGAGACTCTTCACTCGAGAGTTTCATTGAGTCGCCGTAGTCACAGTCCCCAACTAGACTTCCGGTAATCTCTTATTCCTTAGCCCTCACTAAATTAGCCCCTTTCAGTCTTGCTGACTTGAGCGTCGGAGTGCCTACGGCAAACACCACCCCGGTGTTTCCCGTTCGCTTCACGCGTGTGTTTCTCTACGTGTGCAGGTGCAGCAGATCGCTAGTGGCCTTGACCTCACGGGATCAGACCCCCCTTCCGTTCAGGTAGATTTTTACGTCTACAATGACATCGCTTTACAAGCAATACGGTTAACATAATTTTTACTGAAACCATTGTATTTCATTAATCTATTGATTTCATTATTTTTTTAGTCATACAGAAAATGATATTATACAAAATGGTTAGACATGCAACTAATAACAATAGGATAGTGATTTATTCCGCAGGAGTCTTATAACAATAATGGTTAACCGTACAAATGATTGTGGCAAACCATGTGTATCTTTAGTTGTTAATAATTTTATAATAAACAAAAACCAAAATACATTTTAGAATCCATATTTAACCGAGTCATATTTGTTACACTTATTTATTCTTAATTGCTTAATCATAAGGCCATGGTATTCTGATTCCCAACTATGGATTTTTTGTTTTAATTATTACGAATCTTGTGCTTCAAAAACCAATATTTACAGTACAATTTTTAGGTGCAAGTCTCTTAACAAGGAATCAAACATAAAACGAATATTACAAAGAATAAACATTTTGAGACAACAGCACAGACTGCCGACAATAACAATAGCAAGACTCTCAATTCTGAAGACACTTGCACAAGTAGAAAATAAACAAGTTTTGCTATTGCTGGGAACACATTTGTTCTTCATCGAACGTAATACACATATGGGATTACAATTACTGATTGCAGTTTGCAAAAAATATAACATGCAAGGAATGTATAACATTGTCGTTGCCCTGCTCACTCTACATACAAATACTGATGAAATTAGTAAAACTACCTAATCATTTCTACAAACTGAAATATTGTAGAGAAGAATTCAAGTCACTGACTCCAACTGCCACAATTCTCATTAAAAGACGAATATTTGGGAGTTGCAACAAGGAGAATCAAAATCGTATACACTGGAACAGGTCAACGTCACCAAAAAATATCACATGTCATAGATGTAACGTGGATTACCAAATAGTCTGTATGAAATTTAATTTGTAGTTGATTATGTAATTTCTTGCACATATAAAAGTGTAAATGCTTTTTAGTTTAATCTAAAAATAAAATTTAAAGCTCACTCAATTATCCACAATTGATCAAAATATTTATTAATTTATAAAGAAAAATTGATCATAAAATTATAGTGAGCAATAAAACATAAACAATATTTAATAAAAATATTAAACACCGATGATTATGAGAATTTTAGATAATTAAACACGTTCGACAAACAGTAATCTAAATATTATTCTGATAACATATCAAGATAAATTTCCACTCCATTATTCATTAAATTAATTTCCGTGCCAAACCAAAACATTTTCTGGAAACCCACCTATCCAGTCGTTGTCAACTATTTATTATGCTTCCCTTTCATGCGTTACAAACGGTTTGCTACCGTTTCGTATCTCATCACCCAATAAGTTATCAACACTTTTTCAATCAACGTGACTATCTTTTACTAAATGTTAGTTAATTTTCCCACTGCAATTTTTATATTGTAACAAAAATTCTTGCATAAAACATGAGTTCAAATTTATTATGTCTGCTTATTTTCTATCTCTATTTAGATAAAACAAGTCAATATACATTCTAAAGTGAAGTAACAAAATTTTAAGTACAAGGCTAAAACACTGGATAAAACATAAACAATATTTAATATTTTAATAGACATTTAATAACAATATTAGACAAAACTATTTCTAAAAATATTAAAAATTAAAAAACATTCAAAAAACATCAGTCTAGATATACTATAATCTCAATTAAAAAAAACAATAAATAACCATTTATACTACAGATTTAAAAAAAAAAAAAAAATTGTACCATTATTGATCAAACAAGATCCAAGCCGAACTATATACATGTTTCATAACCATATTGTTGAACGACAATTAATAAATTAATAAATATATTATCATACAATCTCTAACTTAGATACTTAATAAAATATTTATTGCCTTTCCTTGAGATCGTATCAATAAGATTTTATTATTACTAAATCACAATGTTTATTTATTATAATAACTTAGCATCTTGCCGAACCATCATTAACTACCTTATTAATATGTTGCACACTTAACAAAATATTTATTACGGTTTTCTTTAATATTGTATAGATAGTCTACTAACATTTCGTATCACCTTATCCAAACAATTATTAACATTGTTTCGATCGACACATTTATTTATTACTAGTTGTCTATTCAGATTCCAATTCTTCGTATCCTAACCTCCTATAAATATTACCCTGACCTCAATCATCCATTTAACTTTCTTCACATTCTATACACTTTAATTGTTCATTTATTCTCAACAGCTTAATTCAAAAATGGCTGACAAAACATCATAACTTAAAGAATCTGCAACAAATATCAGCAACAACCTCGACAACAATAATTCTCCACCAAAGCAACCAAAAGGTATCATCTACATATATTCACAAAAATTATAGTTTCCATATATTTATAAAACTTGATTATATGTTGTTTCTACAATTGGTTTAGATACTTCTCAGGAAATGTCGGAATTGAGGGACATTTTCAAAAATGTTGAGACCAATCTGGAAGATCTACATACTATTAGAAACAAATTCAAAGACGTCATTCAGCAGATGTTAGAAATCATGCAATCTTCCATGGATATTATATATAACTGAAACAAAAGAGAGCACGAATATCCTCTAGAGGAACTAAATAGGTATAAGAAGAATAGAAAATAAACATCATCTAAGTCGTCCAAACCTGCTTGACAATATCAAAAACCGATGTACTCATTGCTTTTATAATAAAAGTATTATTCTCTATATTCAACTTTATCTTAATTTTAAATGTTACTCACTAATTGATTGAAAAGTGTACTTTTAATTGACGCATTGCATTTACTGTTTAATGAATCTACTAAAAACTCTCCTTCTTGACAATTTAGTTTTGATTTAATTATTCCATTTTCACACATTACACGAGTATTAATAATAATTATATAAGTACATTACATATGTATTCAACAAATCTAAACAATTAAAAAAGAAACGTATAAAAATGCAAGTTAGCCTCTTCATATTCCGTTTTATGGTTCTACAATTATTAACCCAAAAATTAGTTGACTTATCATGTTCTCAACTGTAAAACAAACAAAGCCTTTGAATGAACTGTATAAACATGAATTTGTTTTCAAACCTTGATTGGAGAAATTTTAAGTTTAAATAAGTAATCTTGATAATATTAATTGATATTAATAATTATGAAGGTACAATTATTAATTTTATCCTAACACAACTCTGTATGTATCTAAATTTATATTTACTCTAAAACTTGTATAATTTAACAATTATCATCTATTAATCTAATTACTTTATTCTGTTAAAATAATTTTTTTTATAATCTATTTCAAAAACATTAGATAAACATACCCACGCAACGCGTAGGCCCTATGTCTAGTTATGACTAATAAACAAGTTAGAGACTTTTTTCCACCCAAATAATAGTTTAATGAGACTTTCTTACTTACAGACTTTTAAAATATGATTTTATTATCTAAATTTATATTCTAACAACGAATAGGGAACAAACTCGGTTTAAGCTATTTGGGTTTTTGAAAATGGGAGACCGATGAGTGTTTTGACGGTGGAAAGTTAGATACTGGTGGTTGAGATTGATCGAAATTTGATTTGGGAGGGGTGGGTGCACAAACCCTAATCGCTCGATTATCAACGATTGGAAGGGTCGATGAGGGTAGGATTTGAAAGGTTTTGATGAAATGATGATCGAGGAAAAGAATGGCGGTGGTGTGGGGTCGCAACAATGTCAAAATCGAAAAACAGAATACAAATTTAGATAATAAAGTGGTATCTTAAAAGTATGTAAATAGAAAAGTGTCATTAAACTATTATTTGAGTGAAAAAAGGTGAGTTTACTCTAAATTAATTACCCAATCATTAATGTTCCAAATCCAATTCAAAATTACATCACAAAGATTTATATTATTACATTACTGTAAGGTTTTATTTAAGTAACTTTTTTTTATTAAAAAGACCAAAATATTCTAAATTATCATTTTAAAATTTCTTATTTGTTTTAATTAAAAATTCTAAGTGTTTAGTTTGAATTATGAGATTTGGAAGATGGTAATGGATTTTATTTATGAATGAGGGTATTTTAGTATTTTGGGTAAAAATTGGGTGTATTTCTTCGTAACTTTCCGCGTACATATTACATACGTACAATCAAAACAGAATGATTCGGAGATATTCTGCCTTGCGTACAAAGCTGGGAAGCTACTTATCCAAACACAGAAAAAATGGCCTCCTACATAATACGCTCAAACATGAACCACGCCAGCCCATCTAAATCTAGCTTATACTAAAACCCTCTACCCACCCCTACCATTTTAATTTCATCAATACACACAATAATTTATTCAATTACAACCATATAATTCAAAAAAAAAATATGCATTTGAAATTTAAAATTAAAAAAAAAAAAATTTGGCGTACTATCTTATCTTAAAAAGATGTGTTTCGTTCAGGAAATGTTGTACTACTAGGAAACGAGAATATTATATTAATGGAAATATAGATTAGTTTGATGATTATTGGAACTATTTAAAGAAATGTATTTGGTTAGATTGAAATAAATTGATAGGTGTGTTATATTTATATGTTTTGTTGGGAGGAATAAATTAGTGGGTATGTTATATAAATTACTAAATTGCCCTTCCATTTTAATATTATTATTATTTTAGATTATTTTTTTAACCCTCTACATTTGTTAATTTAGCTAAATACCCCCACAAGAAAAGTTTAAAAATTAACTAAAGCACTTCAGCCACCCAAGATGACAGCCAGCCACTATCGTCGGACGGCAGTCGACAATCGCTAGAATGGTGCACGGTTGACCAGATTTGGCTAACCGTGTCTCAATTTGGCTGTTTTCGGTTAGATTCAATATGGATCTAGTTTGAAAATCTAGAAAAAACGGCCAGATCGACACATGATCGACTAGATCAAATCGGTCGTGCATCATTTCAGACATGTTGGTCGGCGGTGGTTGCTGGGGGGTGGTGGTGGTCTTGAGTGGCCTACAATTTGTTTTAAATACAAGGGGATTACTGTTAAAAAAAAAAAAAACTTAATTAATTAAGGGTAAAATTGTAATGGCAAGTTTATGTAAATTAAAATCAAAATAAGAGCATTATTGTCTTAACATTTTATCAATAATGGTAAAATTATAACAAAAATTATATAACCAAGTAATCTCAAAATACCTAAGAAAATAGTGGTAATCAGATTGTCACATATATAACTAACAGTAATTACTATTGGTTTTATAAAATTGTTAGAATATTATATTACTTGACAATCAAATATGATAATATAAGTAAATATATGTTAATATTATCACAGTAATCCCATATAAGCGCATCCAAACACCCCTTAGTCTAGTACTATTATTAATCTCTCAGTATCACGTTAATTTTAAATAAATAATAGAAGATAATTTCTAATAAATTTCTAATAATGAAAAGTAACAATAATAAATAAGACGCTTAAACTAGTTAACTCAGTTGCTGTATTAATTAACGCGACTCAGAGAAATCCATTCAGGCCTTAAATGAAAGCCCAAACAAAATTTAAAATAAAAGAATCTTAACGGTCAAATTTTCAATCCTCATCAGATACTTCAGAATCTTTTTTGCCGTTCTGTCCTCCATTTCAACCTCACCCATCTCTTCCCCCACATAACTTCCCTTCTTTCTTCTCTCTCTATGACCATCATTTTCTAAACCACTCAACTAAAAGCGCTTCTGTTGAAGAGAAAGAAGCACTTTTTACATACAAGTCAGCATTTTTTCTCACTGATTGATACCACCACTCCATCATCTGTGTAATTGACATTAATTAAAAATTTTAACATCACTGATTTATATCTGGAAATGAAATTTGAAAAAAAAAAAAAAAATGCATGAGAAGATATAAATAGGATTAATATCAAACTGTCCTGTTGCATAGATGCATATTTAGTTCCAAAAAGATAGAGTAAAAATGAAACAAGGAGACATCAACTTAGCTCCAAGAGTTATGGACAGCATACGAAAGAATATAAATTATAGATTCAGATTCGGGCTCTTCTACTCGTGGAATGCCAAAAACAAGAAGCAGAAATAGTGAGGTATGATAGAAGTTAGGCTTGTGTGTTCATGTATGCATTAGTCGATGCAGGTATTGATAAATTTGTTTTTGCTTGTGCAGGATGAGAGATTGAAGTTGCTATCTACCCCCTTTGAAGCAAGATTGGAGAAAGCTCTGGAAATTGGTGTTGCTGAAGTTTAGCTTGATTTCTAATGGAGTATGAGATGGTTTAGCATGGGAGAAGTGTTTTGTTAGTATTATGATCCTATTGTTATATTGGTAGCATTTGGATCTAGTTTAAAAATCTAGTAAAAAACGGTCAGATCGGTGCATGACTGACCAGATCTAATCGATTGTGCGTTGTTTCGGACATGTTGGTCGGTGGTGATTGACGTTGGTTGCTGACGGGTGGTGGTGGTCTTTGATGGCCTACAATTTGTTTTAAATACAAGGGGATTACTGTTAAAAAAAAAAAAAAACTTAATTAATTAAGGGTAAAATTGTAATAGCAAGTTCATGTAAATTGTTATTGATTTTATAAAATTGTTAGAATCTTATATTACTTGACAACCAAATATGATAATATAAGTAATATATGATAATATGATCGCAGTTATCCTATATAACCTCATCCAAACATCCATTAGTCTAGTATTAGTATCACATTAATTTTAAATAAATAATAGAAGATTACTTATAATAAAAAGTAACAATAATAAATAAGCCGCTTAAACTAGTTAAGTAACTCAGTTGCTGTATTAATTAACGCGACTCAGAGAAATCCATTCTGGCCTTAAATGAAAGCCCAAACAAAATTTAAAATAAAAGAATCTTAACGGTCAAATTTTCAATCCTCATCAGATACTTCAGAATCTTTTTACCGTTCTGTCCTCCATTTCAACCTCATCCATCTTTTCCCCACTTATCTTCTCTCTCTATGACCATCATTTTTTAAACCACTCAACTAAAAGCGCTTCTGTTGAAGAGAAAGAAGCACTTTTTGCATACAAGTCAGCATTTTTTCTCATAATGGTCTGCTTTTTTCCATGTTTTAGCGCTAATAAGCATCGAAAGCACAAGCGTTTGGCCAATACAAATCACTATAGAGACCTTGTAAGAATAGTTCCAACCTTGATACTTTAAATGGATTCTTCTTTTTTTGTTCCAGAGTAAATCGTTTTGGTGAATGAAATTTTGTTTTGCAGAGACATGATGAGGTTAGCGCAGTTCTTCAAGTGACTGAATGGATTAAGCAAGCAGAAACTAAGAAACCCATTTCAGAATCAAAGTGAGTTATCCTTTTCAACAAGTCTAAATCTAGTGTTTGTTTTTTACCTTTTATTTTATATATTTTTTTTTCTCGGGTTTTGATTTTTTCAAAGTATTAAATAGGTCAATGGTTTCTGGGTTTTTGAAGTTGTTTATATGAGCATTGAGAGTAGTATTCTCAAAACTAGGGCAATAATATGTATAATGTACATACATTTTTCCTTGTGCTTTCTTTCTATTTTATAAATGATTTAATTTCTTTTTTTTTTCTTATGTATTCATTTGATTTTTATGTGTATTTACGTAGGGAGAAGCTTGAGGAGCCAAACAGTGGTAGTACTGAAAGAGAAGTTAGTTTTGATTTGAATGTTAAAACTAATGAGGAAGTTAATGTTAATGATAATTTAGTTAAAACCAGTAAGGAGAAGGAAGAGGGTGAGGAAGTTCATGTTTTTGATAATTTAGTCGAAAACAAGGAGAAGGAAGGGAGTGAAAAGAGAGAGGATCCAACAAAAGAAACCAAGTTAGATTCTGATTCAAGTACCCCAACTGAAATACCTCATGTTTCAAATCATAGATACCAAAATTGTGCAAGTAGTGAGGATGAAATTGAAGATTTAGACTTGGAAGAATGTGAAGTAGATGATGTTAACAGTGATGGTGATGACAAAAAATTGTTTCAAGCAGAGTCATCTGAGTCATTGTTTTCTTTATCAATAGAGTCCAGGAAGCAATTTTCTGAAGTTGAATCAGGTGAAAAGGAGGTGAATAGTAGTCCGATGCCAATTCATTGCGCGAATCCAGAACTCGAGGAAATTGGATTGAGTAAAAATGCTAGAGATAGGAGTCAGTTTGTTCATTCCGTCTTGAGTCCAGTTGAAAATCTTAGTCAATGGAAAGTGGTAAAAGCAAGAGCAACATCTCCTGTATCAAAGTACCAAGATAAGGAGAACATCAGTTTGGTGCAAAATCATGATGTCCCCACTAGTCCAGAGCCTAATGTCAAGCTATTAACTCACAATGCAAAATTGAATTTTAATAATAAGGTTGTGGAACAAGAAATTGCAGTTGATACCAGCCTCTCAAGCTGGTTGGTTGAATCTGAAACCACCCCGGTGTCCAAGACTAGCTCTGTTTCTGTTGGGAATTCGCCATCTCAGATTGTGAATTCATCAAGAAGTCATGAAGACAAACCAGTTTTAGGAGCCTTGACAGTTGAGGAGCTCAAACAATTATCTGGATCTATAACTCCACAGGAACCTGTAATAGGGACTGTTGGGAGCTTCTGGAAACATACAGGGAAAATTATAGATTCAGACTCGGGCTCTTCTACTCGTGGAATGCCAAAAACAAGAAGCAGAAATAGTGAGGTATAATAGAAGTTAGGCTTGTGTGTTCATGTATGCATTAGTCGATGCTGGTACTGATAAATTTGATTTTGCTTGTGCAGGATGAGAGATTGAAGTTGCTATCTACCCCCTTTGAAGCAAGATTGGAGAAAGCTTTGGAAATTGGTGTTGCTGAAGTTTAGCTTGATTTCTAATGGAGTATGAGATGGTTTAGCATGGGAGAAGTGTTTTGGTAGTATTATGATCCTATTGTTAATTGTCTTGTAAATATATTGGCGGTTTTATCTAGTTTGTGATGCAACTGTTAAACTTATGTTGGCTTTTATACATGGTTAGCAAGAATAAATCCTCCACATTCTAGTTATATAAATTTCCTGAAATGTTCAAAACAGGATCATAAAAATACATGGTTTTGAGAATTATTGCATGTTTGGTTTTGTTCTTCAAAATGACCTTGAGCTCAATGAAACAGAAGTTACATGAAACTTATCGAACGAATAACGCAAATAATCGAAAAGCGTATGTGTAAAATAAGGTTCTGTTGAATAGCTGAACACTTTTTGATTGGAATTTAATTGGGGATTTTCAGCTTTCAGATAATAATCATAATATGCATTAATCTATCCTCCACATATATTTGTTGATAAGAATAAACATCAATTAATCACAAATTTGGATTCGAACTTGTAGAATTACTTTTAACATGCATTAATTAATTTTTTTTTAATGATCTTTTGTGTTGATTTGATGGTGTGGGTTTGGGAGTTTGAGTTGATTGGTTTGATTCATTGCTTTGAAACTCGGACAGGATCGACCGGTTCGATGGGTGCAACCGAGAACTAGACCCTTATCCAGTCCAGGTACATCCTAAACCCAGTTATAGCAGTTAGACTAGAGATGACAATGGACCTGATATTTTTGGGTACCCGGCTCGGTCCAACCCAAAAAGATCGGGCTTTTCTCGATGTTTGCAGACTTAGGCTTGGACCTGGACCTGATTTTAAGGTCCGACCTTTGGTACGAGCCCGGCCTGGCAATTTTAGTATTAATTATACTAAATTACCCTTATACTATATATTTAATTACAAGATTATCCTACATATATATACTCATTTTTTCCAAACCCTACATGGATGGATGAATGCACTTTGGGAAAAGTTATTTATATATTTGGTGAGTATTAAAAAATAAATTAATATCTAAAAATTGTCTCTAGAATTAAAAATATAAAAAAAAATTGAAATTTATTAATATTTAAAAATTCACATTATAAAAATAGCGGGCTTGGGCTCGACTTGAGGTTACAAAAAGTCTGTCAGGTCGGGCTTGGGCTTTACCTATCATACCCGTGATAGGTCTAGACCGGGTTTGGGCCTTTGTCATGAGGTCGGGCTTGGGCTTGGGCCAAGAGGTACCCAGTCCCGGCCCAACCCATTGCCATCACTAAGTTGGACATAATTGACCCAGATTGAACCGGCGAAACAGTTGGTTAAACCGTCGGGTTAGAGAATGGGTGGCTAAACCGAATTCCTATTTCCTAAAATTAAATTCCCTAAATTCGATTCTTCAATTTCAATTTATAGTTCTTCATCTTCCCTCCTTCAAATCTTCTAATATTCGATTTGGATTGTAGTTCGCTTAGCCTTCGCGTCGCCGGCCGTCTGCACTTTAGTTCACTTGGCCTCCTGCCTCCGCTAGTCCGATCCGAACTCCACCTTTCCATAGTCAGTTTGTGCGACAACCCTTGAAATCGTGAGATTTTTTATTGCTCGGAGATTGTGGTTTTGGGTTGTTGGAGTCGATTGTTGGAGGTTGATTGTTTGGAGTTGTTTGTGGAAGTTTGTTTGTGTTGTTGTGTTGTGTTCACCGGTCGTCGGCCACTCCCCACCTAACTTCTGTCGACTCCAACCTGCAGACCACCTGTTCGACAAAAAGCCACATAGAACTCACCAGCACCTACTGCCCAGATTTTATTTTATTTGAAATTGAAATTGAAATAGATTTGAATTTATTTTATTTATGTTATATTGTTATTTGGATTTGGATTTCGGACTTATTTTATTTATCAGTTCATCTTTAGATTGAGATTTTAAATTTATTTTATATTGTTATATGGATTTTGGATTTGGATGTAATTATTTTAGAAATTTATTAGGATTTTAAAATTTTATTATGCCATGCTCATGTCATCACCGATCCGAACGGCCGATTCAACCGGTCCGACTAAGAACCAGCCCCTTGACTGGGTGAGTCCCGGCCCGGATCTTACAACATTGGTTTGATTTGATAGTCTTTTAGTCTCTTTCAAAGTTTCAAGTTTGACACTTTTCATCACCAGCATCTCTCTATTATTTAACAATGAATTATCTTGATGGGTGTCTTAATATTTTTAACAAACAAAATAGTTAGAATATTAATATGGAAACTATGTTATTTTGTACATTAAATATATTAAAATAAGTAAATATTTTATTAATTAGTGCTCTTAACACATGCTATAAGACTACATGTTAAGATAACCCTTTAATAACGTGCTGAAGTCTGAGCCACTAATAAGGGATGGGCATTGGGCACATTCCCCGGCCCGGCCCTTTAAATATTTTGTTTGTTCTGGAATATCAAATATATTTTAATTTGTCATAAATAAATAGAAAATTATTTTGTATACAAAAATTTATTAACGAAATTTAAGTCAAAAATTTTTTCGCCTTTTTTGACTTGCACGTGCCACCATTTTAGCTGATGGCACATGCAAGTGTTTGAGGCGTGTTCTGGTAAGAACAAATTCCTCTGCTGATTGCTGATTGCTGATTGCTGAGGGCCCAAGTGTCGACCCAAATCCAGTCATTCTCTTTCCTGCTTTTCTATTTTCTTCTCTCTGAAAAGTAGACGTACTTTTGTGGACGGTCATATTATCTAGTGCATGTGCATGTGCTGCATGTGTTTTCGCCAAGCTGAATAATCGACACAGGAATCTCATTTCGCTGACCCAAATTCTGAGTTTCTTGTTAATTTCAATCAACTCTTTGGCCACAATACAAATCTCTCGTTATAAAAAAAAAAAAAAAATNAAAAAAAAAAAAAAAAAAACAAACAGATTGCTAGCATAGTTTAGATATAGTTCCTATTACAGGTAATGTGATAGTAAATAAGATTATTGTACAATGTATTGTTATGTGATACTTTCAATGTGATATTAGTATTAATGGTTAGGATATCAGAATTTTGGTTTAATTATCGGTTAATGTACTTTCTATTTTATTGATGTTTTCGGTATTACGATGATGTTTGGTATCCTTATATTTAATTTGGTTCTTAATATTGTGTTTTTACTAAAGTGTTGATGAAATAGATGGTATTGCTTATGTCATATAATAGTATAAGTTTGTATCATATGGGATTTAAATAAGAATTACAGTTGTCCACATAAAAAAATTAACACTTGAATTTGAGTGAAAAGAAAATCATTAAGATCATTAACAACAATTAAATAGATATGGCATTTTAAATCATCTAAAAGAGCAAATGATATTCTACCAGAATCTCTATACCTTTTTATGGGATTCGAAGTACAGATCTTTATATCTGGTTTGCTGATTTTTGATTACGTGTATCAAATGGTCAACCTTTGCTTTCAAATTTTTAGTTGTATTACTTGTGTTAGGCTCTTTTATCTGCTAAGGTGATTGCAGTTCGATCTCTTGGTTGCTATAAGTGAAAACCATCGATTCTATCACACGCTGAATGTTATCATTGTGAGTTTCTGCAACTGTTCCTTAAAGTCTTGCAGAGCACCTACCAACTTTCTTATGTTTAGTTTCCACAACTGTTCCTTGAACTCTTGTCATCATTTTGTGAGTCGTCTTTTCCATTCTACTAAGATTACATAATAAAGCAATCAAATATAAAACTGAAATATATTAACGAGAAAAACAACCAATAAAAAAAAAAAAAAAAAAAAAAAGCATCGTTATCTCAAACATGTAAATTCTGAAACAAGAAATTTCTCTCTAAAAATTGTTGTAACAAGTTATTTTTTGTTTCTTCCCTTTTTGTGACCCTTCAAGTATTGATTTCTTATGAATGGTAAACCTAGGTTTTTGTTTTTGATAATGCTTGATTCAAATTTTTGTACAGGTGTAATAATTGCATAGAAATAACTTCAATTGGTAGGAATGCCCATCAAATACAATTGTATACTATAACATTAAACAAAATTTCATGATACATTACAGAAACAAACATATGAAACTACTACGAAAAACAAAGAACAATATTGAAAAGAGGGATCAGATATACAATAATTGAATCGACAATGTAGAAAATCTCGACGCGAAAGCTTCAAACCATTTGAAAGAAAGTCTGCACCAATAGAAGAGAAAGTCGAAATGATTCACTGATAGCGTGTTTGACAGACAATGGGCATGAACACAGCTTAAAGAAATAGAAAATGCATTAGATAAAGAAAGACCAGATAAATGAATATATTAATGAAACATAAATGACTGTTAATCTACCGACTATAGAAAACCGGTTGGACCGATGATTTTGAAATAGCAGGTGCATTTTTTAATAAAATAATATTTAATTTATTACAAATACTGCGAACAACATTATTGTTAGATATTGCAAAAATTAGGTGAAATATACTTAATTCAAATAAGTCAACTGGCAAAATATAACTGGAATGTAAAACTAAAATATCATTACTAATTTAATAAATTATTTACCTAATTAATATAAAACCATCAAGCAAATTAAAATAACAAATTACTTTAATATACGGTTTCATATTAATTAAGTTTGATAATGTTTATAGACATTATATCATTCATTGAACAATAACATTCTTACCATTGGTCTACTAAACAATTAAAGTTATATAAGTTAAAAATTATATAATAACATTCTTAACAAACTGCCCAATAACTTATAAAGAAGAGCTTAAATAAGAAGAGAAAACAAACATATGGCAAACAATCAGAGATGTACTATTATACTTTTTTATTACTAGTTCTTTTGTTGGTTTTCCAAATGTAATAATTTATTAAATTGATGAAACGTTTCAAGTTAGTGCATATTACCTCAGTTGGGTTTTTAATGTTTTGGGGTTCTTCAATCGTTGTATTCATTTAATAGGACATGTTTGTTTGTTTTCCATATGTTTGTTTTCTATTCTTATTTAAGCTCTTCTTGAAACTGTATGTATATATAAGTATCAATCTCAACTTCTATTCATATAACTTTTATACGTTTATAGACTCCCTTTATCACTTTTACCTTTAATTGGTTCAATNGATATATATATATATATATATATTTTAACAGTATCAATCTCAACTTCTA